CTTTCCCCTTCACGCCTTGCAGAATGAATCCCGAATATCTATTAGACTAAGCTAAAACCGAATCGGCGCTATTCCCCTCCTATATATAGCCTACTAAATTCTAATTCCCTGAGACCCCCCTCCTTAGCCGTGGCGACTTGGCCACCGGCGACTAGCCGACTACTAAAGTCCCGATCCCTCGAAACCCGTAGCCTATTAGCTGGGCGAGAAGCGGTCGAGTTAGTCGGGCTTGCGAAAACTACTAAGAGCAAAAGGCTAAATGTAGCGGACACTATCCCGTCTGTCTTCGTTGTAAGGATGCTGGTGTCCGGTATTTATATAGCGATCGGAAGAGGGAGAAGATGGCTAAGTGGGTGGCTTCTAATGGAGTATTAACTTATATCTAACGACTCCTTAGGTAACTTAGTGATCTTACTGTATAATTAGAAACCTATAAAACTCTCCTGTAAGACCTCTATCCTAGACTAGATAAGCTTTCGGCCCGCTATGTTAACCTAACTCTTAAGGAGGTGTGTTCTAGTTATCCTCGCCCCTCTATTATTACCTCCTTACTATCTTATTTTGTCCAGTTTTCAGATCCTTTAACGCCTTACCCTGATCCCGAGGGCACGCCCTTTACTCCTAGGGCTATCGACTACACTAAAGAAGATTTTAATAGAGATAAGAAACTCTAGGCTATAGGGTTTATAGGCGAGCACTCGGAGGTAGCCTAGCTATATAGACTCAAACGGGACCTAGACTAAGATACCACGATACCGGCCCGTACCTCTTTCGATTGTCCTTCTATCTCGTCGGTTAACTACTTCTAAGACGAGCTAGAAATCTCTATCCTCGACGAAATAGACCTTTCGACCCGCCCTCCTTATAACGTCGCTAGTTAACTTATTAACGGCTACTTCCTTTCGGTGTACCCTGCCTTCCCGATTATTAGCATAACCACATTTCTTGGTTAATGTGACTCCTTCTATATGAATCCTAGAGTCCGGCCTGGTAAACGATGGTTAGTAGTGTTAAATTTGATATTTGCTATTATAGCGAGACGTTTACTGCTGATAGGCTATTCGCCCTACTCGGAGGCGGATAGCTATTTAGTATATTTCACGCGGGCGTGGCGCCTCGGTATTAATAATGTAGCGTTGCTTTTATACCCGGACTTATAGTAGGTCCAAGTCGAGGGCTTAATAGCCTTCTATCTTCTATCTATCGGATAGGTTAATAGGTCTGGTTTTCTACTTATTTATTTTTGCGTGAGCTGGTGGCTGACCGATAGGAATCTTTGTGTCTAGGTTATGGAGAATTCTTAGTATTACGATCCGATTAGCCGTGACTATGGGGCTCAACCTCCGTAGCGAGAGCTCTATCATTAATCACCTTTCTAAGGAGATAAGATATCGGGTATAGTGGGCGCTATTTATGTTAGATACCGTGCTATGCGTGATGACCGGCTGACCGCCTAGTACCGTTAAGTCCTTCTGCTCCACGTCTCTCCCGTTGCCGTATACCGAGGAGGAATTTAGTAATAAGTAGATTATATAGCTTATCACGGATCAAGAAGCCCGGAATATATTAATGTCTTCCCTACTTTCCACGGAGCCCGCGATTATAGCTAGGGAGAGCCTCGTTAGTTATACACGTTCCGTATAGTTAGACAGCAAAAGAAAGTAGGTCGAGCGGAAAGCTTAGACTCTTACCCTAAATGGTTCGCTCTACTTTTTGTACGCCGTAGACTTAGCGTTAATTATCCGCGAGGCTATGGAAACTCTGTACGCGCCTCGAGCGAAGAGACGATTATGGTTAGAAACTGAAATCAAGATTTCTTCCCTTAATAGTAAGGCCGATAGATGGCTTTCTCGTCTTCCGGCGGAATTCCACTTCGCCGAACTCGATACATCGCGGCCTTTTGCTTAGGAGCGTGCTAGTCTAGCCTTTCGCTTCTATACCACTAAGATAATTATTTCACAGCCCTATCTTCGCTACCTTACTAACCTACCTATTACGACCTTTCCCGGCGCTATATGCGATACTATGGCTGCTTTGTGTGTTTAAGTTATAGGTCAGATTCTCGATCTTCTACCTAATAAGGTAGACACGGTATAGTTATACGAGATATCCCCGTGGTGGTGTATTCTTCACTATATTATATAATCTAGCACGATCCTTTTAATCGCGCTATTTACGCGAATCCGGCCCGTTATAGCCGATACAGACAATATCGTAGAGAAGGTTAAGAAGGCTACTCGGTAGCTAAATAAAATATTAGCTAAAGATACCTCCTCGTAGCGAGCTTAGCTTATCTATATAGATCTTCTCTCGCGCCACGCCTCTAAGCTTGGATTAGAAGTTGAACCTAGGCTTAATCTATGATGATTATCCTAGACTTACTATACCTATAGGATATCTAATACCGAGGTATAGTGGATTACGTTATTAATAGAGAGAGGAGACCTCTTATCTGCTAGTATGTGGTCGCTTCGCTTCGCGCCGAGGGTAGGGCTAAGTTCGAGTCCCGATACGAGTCCTACTCTAAGCTTAAGCACGTATAGGAGTATAGCGCTGTAGTTCATGACTGAGCTTGTAAGTGCCTGGTTAGTCAAAAGTCGATGTAAATATCCTTAATATCTCTTCTACGGAGGATAGTCGATGATAAAGCTTATTTATGGCCGCCTATATGTATTCGGCTGCCTTAGTATTTTCTAAAAGAGCAGGGACGTAACACTATGCTACTTTTGCGGCTTACGCATTAGGATTATTAATACTTGTTGCTTTAGTTATTGTAAGGGAAAGACGAAAGTGGTATTAGTCGACGTATCTTAAGATATAATCTAGGCGAAAGCTTATAGTAGTACTATACCAGAGTGTGATCTGAATTTAGACCTATTTTAATGAACGGAGAGAGATAGATATAATGCTTAATGAGAGGGAAGTAGGACTTAAATAGATATATTATACCGCCTATAGTATTACCGCTTAACTTTGTAACATTTTAGGGTAGAAAAATACTTTGAGCTCCTAGGAACCTGAGTGATTATGTATAAATCAGAAACTAGCACTAATAATATAGCCTATACGTCCGCGTCGCTCTAGGAGTATAGGGCGGGCTCCTAAGAGCGATGTCTTTGGAGGTAACTACTTATCCCAAAAAGATGGTGACTGCTCAAAACGGCATTCTGATGCGAGTGCTTAATAGCAAGAGAAGTGAGATGAATTTTCCGACGCCTCTCTGCCCCTTACGGCCTAGATCGGTATTACACGTCCTTAAATAAGCGGGGCACCCGTAATCTAGATAAGATACCCCCTACGCCGATTAAGCACAAAACTAAGCTTTACTTCGGATAAGCTATGCGTTTAAGCGTCGAGCTCTAAAGAACTTATTGGTAATGCCCCTAGCGCTTGGATTGTCCCTAAGAATAGTAAGCTTTCCGTCGCAGTTAAGTAAAATCTGTATCCTAGTGTAGTACGTATGTATATGATAGAGTCGTGCGCTTTAGTACTCAATCCATCTCCAGTACGATTAATAGTATCGGCTAAATATCCGCACTCGGTGTAAACTTAACCTAGCCCATTGGTCGTCCAAGAGTGGTGTATCTGCCTCTTAGGCCGTTCGTGATTTAATAGGGGGATCGAAATTAAGGGGAGTATAGTTCCTCAGGGCGCCTAAGTTAGGGTATATACACTATCCGTAGGATATCTAACCAAATCTATATTATCGTGATCAGGCTATATAGTTAATTCCTAATGTTAACATAGGTTCTGAGCTATATATAACGTTCCCTAAGTATCTAGATACTATATCTATAGTACGAGTTCCTAAGCACGATAGGGGCTATTATTATTTTCACTTAATTAGCTAACACTTGCATTAGAATAGTAGCGATAAATTATTTAAATTTAAGCGCGTTCTATACTAAGATGATTACTAATTCTATAAGGCTTACTCGCCCCCTGAATAGGCATTAATACTTACCTAAGAGGCTAAGAGGCTAAGAGGCGAGTACCTATTGAAAGGGATAGCCTATTAGTCCGTCTAAGATAGTAATAATAACTAAGTGAGATAGTAAAATACGGACTAGGGCGAGAGGGACTGACGGCCTATCACGATATAATCGTTAGCTAAAAGTAGCGCCGGCAATTTCTAAGGAAATCGGCGCGACTAGCGTCAGGCCTCCCACCTTTATGAACACTAAAGCAAATTACTATCTATAAATAGATCCTAACGATATAAGCCGCTATTGTTTTTGACCTCCGTTGACCTTTTTCCAAGATAACTAACTCTTTAGCGTAGTCTATTACCCTACCAAAATTAGCGGAGAGGTAGGAGTCCAGTGACCAGAAAGTGGGCGATCGATAGCTTTGACCCTAAAGTAGTAGGTCAATAAGTCACTAGTGAAGCCTCCATATAGGCCGTTCTTGTGGTTTAAGTGTTCAACCAATATTTTATTTCGAGACTTACGCTTTTTTGAGGAGCGTTAAGATTAGACTGCGGCGCTAACCGCAAAGACCATGGTTAACCGCAACTATATCCAAAACCATTTGGTTTTGGTCTTCAGATCAAGACCGCAAATTTTGCGGTTTGGTTGCGGTCTTAGCTCGAAGACCGCAAATTTTTGCGGTTTGGTTGCGGTCTTTAACTCAAGACCGCAATGCGGTTTTGGTTAACTAATGGTTAGATAAACATAGCAAACAGGCTAAGCCTCGTGACCTTTTGGTTAGATGATTTTTTATGCAGTCTTTTTGGTATTTTTCTAGTATCTAGTTAGTATAAAGTATCTAACGTAAATCAACTTTTTTAATATAATAGTGCACTTCTTTGATTTATTATACACTTATGGGGTTCTAATTTCAAATCCTTCTGGCATCCTGGTCTTCTTCCGTACTTGACTAGGTCGTTATGTATTCTCTAGATTAGCTGGTTTAGGCATGACTTTATTCTCCTGGGATTAAGTGCTTCTACTCCGAGGTCTCTTAGGTCTAGTATTTTCACTCTGAGCCTAAGGCTGTAGCTAAGAGGGAATCTTAGTCACTGTATCTTTATCTTCGGCCTCCTTACTATCACTGATAGGATCTAGAGAAGGGAGGGGTAGTAGTGAGCCTCTCTCCTGTTTAAGAAGAGCTAACTCCCTAACTGAAATAAGCTGTTTAGTGAAATTAATCTCCCTTTGTTTAACCTTAAATTTTGTTGTATATATATAAAGTATTAGCGCTTTAACTATCTCCGGTTTTAATTGCCTACGTCGATAATGATAGATATCACGCGCGTAATTAAATAGACGCTCTACACTAGTACTACTAGTAGGAATAGATAAGATATCCCGTGTAAGGGCTATAAGAATTGGAAACTCTTGTTAATGCTCCTTCTAGAATATACGAGGATGTTAAGATATTAGTCCTAGCTTATTAGTTTTAATTTCTCGAAGTTTCTTTATGTATAGGTAGGGGCTTACCTTTAGTAAGATAGCGATTAAGCTCGTTATTATTATTCCCTTAGGGCTCCTCCGGTTGAAGAGTATTCTGGGATTTATAAAGCATTTTAATCTTATCCACGGTATTAAGTGAACTAGCTAAAGTCCTGGGTGATAGAGGGCTATTCTTGTCTGAAAGCCGTCTCTTATAACGCTAGAATTCCTCTTCTAATCGACCACGGTATCGTCTAGCGTAGTTAATATTATCTTGCTAATCCTTAGTTTTAAAGAAGCGAAGCTTCTTCGAAGGTGCTAGGATCGTTGTAATTACGTAAATATCACTATAGTACTTATGGTTAGTTATCTTATAGTACTCTAAGAGCTTTTCCCTTACTACTTAAAGTGCTTAAAGTATAGTTTGCTTCTAGGGAATCCTCTTCCGGCGAAGCTACTCTTCGGAGGCCTTAAGGTAACTGAAGAGATTATTATAGATACTAAAGATGAGATAAATAGTGATATCCTTTGACTTTGAAAGAGTAGTAGTGAACTTAAAGAATAGCTAGATAATATAAAGTAGGTAGTCGACCTAGCGCTACTCCTCTTTATTAAGGTAGAATTAGGGGTATCTATAAGTTTAATAGTATCGTTTAAAGGCCTCCTATAGTCGCTTTGTATGGCCGAGTATTAGAAAGGTAGAATTCTATCGTGTATGGATATCCTAAATAGGGAGTAGATAAGGCTCTTCGGTCTAAAGGCCTAAAAAGGCTTCGCGGCGCTATAGGCTTATATTAATAAAGATAGTAAGGTTCCGAATCTAGGTATAGAGTGAGAGGTTAGTTATCTAGTAGTAAAAGAGAGGAAGAAACCCTTACCTTATTTAGAGTATTAACTATCTCTTTATTTATACGCTTAGGATATAAGTATATACGCTTATCCGACTACTTAATCTTAGTCTTATTATTAATAGGTACTACCTTTATTTTACCTAGTAATTAATTAAGACTTAGCTAAATTATATAGGCGAGATATAGAATCCGAAAGATCCCTATATTACTAATTCCTTATACCTTGATCTCTTCTTAGATGCTATTAATTATAGTATTGTTATTCGTTATATTATCTATCGTGATAGATAATATCCGATCGGTAATCTAGTGTTCCTTAAGAATGTTAATAACGACGGAACTTAAATTGCTTCTAGTATATAGACTATATAGTAGCTTAAATCTAAGAAGGACCTCGCGATACTCCTAGTTATTATCGACGAAATAGCTAGTAATTACTATAAATGCTTAGGAAAAGGGTGATATCTAGTAGTCTAATATAATTAAGAGTCTACTTCCTTATAGTAACTTATCGAGTATACTCTATTTGTTACGGACCTCAAGAGGCGCGGGGGCCGCAGTTATTTGAGGACAACGGAGGGCCAATCATCCCACGGACGCTAAGGATTAGCGTTGTCACGTGCGTTTCGGTATACTTGGGCGAGCCCCGGCAGGGCCCCAAGGCAGACACTCTGGGCGGAAGCCAGAAACGGCCTACGGCTAACCGTCACAACCAATACCCGCTTACTCCATGAGACGGTTAGCGCGACGCAGGAAACGGCCACCATTTTACCAACACCCAGATTACACCACAAGTGCAAGGACCCGGTAAAACCACACGTGACGCCAAGGATATACTCCCAGCGTGACTCCAAGGAGTAGGCGATGGGGTATACGGTGACTCCAGATCTACTCCCAGGGAGTAGGTCGGGAGTAGGAAGGGCTAGATATATAAGGACACTCATTTCGCATCATGTATTTAGTTCTTCGCGATCAATCATTCAAGTTACTAGGACAGCACCTTTCCTACATTGTTACTCGGTTACTACCTTTAGTACTTTGCACTTCACAGTTCACCTTCAAGACAACCCAACCTACAAGTAGGGGATTCACTCAGTGGTAACACTTAGTGATTGACTTACTTGGCGCGCACTTCTGGCACGTTCTGCAAGATACTCAACAGGATCCATCCCGCAGTAAGGCCTCGCGAGGCAACGGTACGATTGAGAGATACTCTTGGAATCCGCAGTTGGAATTAGGCAAGCATAACCCGTGAACATTCTAACTCACAGTGACCGGTCGGCAACGCGTAACACATTGATCGCCCTGTCTTTGAACCGTGAAGCAAAGTCATCATGGCAGGCAACGACAGCATCCCACGAGGAAAGACTCCTCGCCCTCCAGCGGCGCGAGAGGACGACTGGGAGGACGAGCAGGAGAGAAAGATCCAGGCACTTCAGGAAACCATCAAAAGACTTGAAAGCAACCTGAACACCCTGGGAGGCAACTACAATGAACATGCAGCAAGCGTGAAGGACCACATGGAGCAACTCCATGCACAGGTCGTCGCTTCTGCACCAGCGACTGCTATCGGAGCACCGAAGCTTCCAAAGGCTGAGACCTTTGACGGTACACGAAGCAAGCTACGAGGGTTCCTTACTCAGATGGACATCCATATCGACGTCAACAAGGGACGCCTCATTACCGAAGGAAGTAAAGTCATCTTCGTGTCAGCCTACCTCAGAGGACAGGCGTGGGATTGGCTTGAACCCTACATCAGGGAGTACTACGAAAAAGTCAACACCGAATGGTCTACCACCACTCAAGCTATCTTCACTAGCTACACCACGTTCAGACAACACCTGGAACGAACTTTCGGTGACATTGACGCCAAGAAAACAGCTGAGCGAAAGCTGAAGCGCATCCGACAGACCGGATCAGCATCAACCTACACGGCCGAATTCATGCAACTTGCAGCGATATTGCAATGGGAAGACTACGCTTTGATCCCGTACTACGACCACGGACTCAAGCCGCACATCAAAGATGAACTCGCACGAATCGACCGACCCGATACCATGGAAAAACTCATCGACACAGCGGTACGGATTGACAACCGTCTGTATGACCGACAAATGGAGAAAAGAGAAATTGAAGGATGGCGCCGAGGCACTGGCCGGCCATCACACCATCGCTACGACAAACGACCAAACAGACCTAGTAGGGACAGCGATCCCTATGGACCACGACCAATGGAGCTCGACGCAGCGAGGCTCCCAACCGAAGAAGAAAAACGACGAAAAGATAACAACTTATGCTTTGAATGTGGAAAAGCAGGACATCGGGCGCGTGAGTGCCACAATCGGCGCAACAACGCAAAGCCATGGGCGCGTGAGCGTAACGGACGCAACAACGCAAAACCACAACAGCTACGGGCAACTCAAGACGAGGTACGACCCCAACAACTCAGGGCCACTCACGACGGAGCGGAGCGCCTGAAGGAAGCCATTACCAAGGCTACTCCAGATGAGTATGAGCACCTGAAGGACCAGGTCACCAAGTGGGCTACCGAGAAGCCACTGGTTAGGAAAGGACCCAAGGTCAAACAACCAATCCAAGACGAAGTCGACAAACTATTGGCCAAATGGACAACTTTGAGTCCAGAGCAAATCGATGAGCTACGGCAACGATCGAAGGGAAAAACCACGGACACCTTCGAAAGCAACGACGAATACCGCGGCCTGAACAGCGCAGAGCACGCGACGGAGTTTCCCGAGATTGATTGGGAAAATATTGAGAGTCAAGGGTGGACCCAGTACGGTCCCTGGAACACCACCGACTCCCAGGAACTATCCGACGATTCCCAGGAGTGGGGCGTAGGGATCCTGAAGACACCAATCGAGACACCAGGAACCCCGGAGATCCCAGAAACTCCACCCCAGCTCCCAGAAACGGATACTACTGTACAGCCTCAGAAGAAACCCCAGAAGGCGGAAGTGATTGCAGACATCAACCGCATACAGAATGAACTCCACGGCTTATTCAGGAATCATGAGGGAGACATCGGCAACAAGATCGACCGAACACTCGAACTCACCAACCAACTATACGAACTACACAAACTGAAACCTGAAATTGAGGATGGGTTTTGCCCATGTTGGCAGACTCAGTGTTCGTGCCAAGGATACGCTCGACACCCGGATCACCGACTAAGATCTACGACCGGATGTTACGACAATGACTGCATGACACACTATCAAGGAAAGATCGACAGAAGCCTGGAACCCAAGCCGCTACGATGGGAAAAGAAACCTAATTGGAGCCCAGAATACGCGGGACTCTGGCACGGAGACCGGAGGATAAACAACGAACAACACCTTGCAGCAACTGCGTGGGGAGCACATGTGAAAGTTACTGCCAACATCATGCTTCGACCAACTAGAGTGATGATCGATTCAGGAGCTGCAGGAAACTTCATGAGCCCATTGTACAAACAGAAGTACAAGATCCAAGGCGTGGAGAAGCCACGGCCAACACCAATCATCGGTCTAAACGGAGAAAGCCTAGGACCAGGGATCACGCACGAAAGCGGACCACTGCCAATGGTCATTGAAGACCACTTCGAGATCATCAACTTCGACGTCACACACCTCGGAGAATATGATGTGGTGCTTGGAGTACCTTGGTTGAGGAAACATAACCCAGCCATCGACTGGCGAGTAGGAAATATCGTCTTCGACAGATGCTCGTGTCGACAGACTACGCAGGTGTGGACCGGGAGAAATGAACCCATGACGCTGAAGAGACCTAGCTCGGGGGAAGCAGGAACTCATGAGAACCCTCACGAAGGAGAACTTAAGGGGAGTTTTCGGCCAGGAGGCAGGCCCAACAAACGAACAAGCGACATCAGAGACATCGCCACCACGGAACAACGACCAGACATGACAGACGAGGAACTAAGTGAATATGTTCTCGTCCAAGACGACGCAACGACCCTCTGTGCAACAGGATCACCAGAGGAAGAGCACAAGATTCCTGAGGAATACATGGAATTCCAGGATGTGTTTACGCCACCACCAGACGGTGAGCTACCAGAGCATGGTCCGTTTGACCATGAGATCAAGATCAAGGACGGCCAAGAACCAAAGTTCATGCCGATTTACCCACTGTCGCAGAAGGAGTCAGCGACACTGAAGGAATATATTGAGGACAACCTCAAGAAGGGGAACATTCAACACTCGAAATCGTCAGCAGGATACCCAATCCTGTTTGTACCCAAGAAGGGAGGAGAACTCAGAATGTGCGTTGACTACCGACAACTCAACGACATTACCCTCAAGGACCGGCATCCACTACCGTTAATCAACGAAATCCAAGACATCATTCAGGGAGCGAAATACTTCAGCAAATACGACATTACCAACGCCTACAACCGACTTAGGATCAAGGAAGGGGACGAATGGAAAACGGCATTCAGGACCAAATTCGGACACTTCGAATACAAGGTCATGCCATTCGGACTCACCAACGCACCAGCATCGTTTCAACGATTCATCTTTCACGTTTTGAACGGATACCTCGACAAGTTCGTCATCGCGTACCTTGATGACATCCTCGTATTCTCGAAAACCGAGGAAGAACACATCCAGCACAACAAGATGGTGCTACAACGGTTAAGGGAGGCAAAGGTCACGCTCAAGCTCAAGAAATGTGAATTCCACGTCCGGAACACCAGTTTTCTCGGATACACCATTAGTCCCGACGGATTAGGGATGGAAGAAGACAAGGTCAGAAGCATCCTCGAATGGCCAACACCAACGTGCGTCAAAGACGTACAGAGCTTTCTTGGACTTGCCAACTACTATCGGAAATTGATACCGCAGTACTCGAAGTATGCGGCCGGACTCTACCGATTCACCAAAAAGGGAATACCGTTCAAATGGGACGACGAGGCGGAAAAGTCGTTCACCGCACTCAAAGGAATGTACAACAAACCAGCCGGACAGGCAATTGTTGCGACATTCAACTACGACTCACCGATCATCATCGAAACCGACGCATCAGACTTCGCGCTCGGAGCACAACTCATGCAACCAGGAAAGGACGGCAAGCTC